GCTGTTGGTGAGCACCAAAATTGTCTTGTAAAAATGGTAGAAATAGGTCTGGCGGTCAGCACAGTCAAAATCTTGGAACGTATCCCTATTTGTTCCATTGTAAAGTGGGTTCCCTTTATGCAAATTCGAGTTATGCTCCATTTTCCAGGAACACATGTGCAGCATAAAGTGAGGGAAAACTGTATATACCTGTATTTCTTCTTGGGGTGATTATTACCTGGGTCATGGTCCATTGCTGAATAGCCAATGAAAGAGGTCAGGGATAAAATGAGAAATTGGAAATCTGTACAGAAGCTTCAGATGATTCTTTAGTTAGAACAGAGAAGAATGGAGTTGTGATGTTTCATAGCTGAACCGGGAGGAGTGGGAACTTGGATGCCTGGGTGCTGTCCCTGGCTCCAGGATGGGAAAAAGAGGGTATATCTCTCACATGCTAATCATTGTGATTCAGACTGGGCTGCCAGAGGGAGCAGAGCATCTGTGAGAAGGATGTAATAACACACTCAGTGCCATAAAAAAGGATGAGGGGTGTTTAGGAAGCAAACCCAGCTTCTGCCTTCCCAAACCAGATAGGAGGCATATCCTTCTAACCTAGGTCTCTCCCTTCCCTCCCCACCAAGACTGCTCAGATCCAAAGACAACAGATTTAAGCCTGTAATTCCTTTTTTGGCTTAGCCAGAAATGAACCGGGCAAGAAACTCTGTGCCAAAAACATGCCACCTCCCCTTGCTTAGAGATTGTCTGGCTGTGGAAGGCATCCAGAGATTCAGAAGCGGCTTTAATTTTATTAATTTCCCTGCAGAGAATCACAGAGTTGCAGCAAAGCCAGGCTGGCAGGGCCCTCATGGAATCATAGATAATTCAGGCTGAAGGAGACCTCCAGAGGCCAAGTCCAACCCCCTGCCTGAGGCAGGATCAGCCCTAACCAAAACATCCCAGAAAAATTCATTTTTCAACCTCTTTGTAAAGCTACCATCCATCCTGACACAGCACCAGACATCACATCTGAATCTGCCACAAGTAAGCAGGGGGACCACAGTGGCCAATGTCCTGCTGCTGTAAAAGTTATTAATATACTCTCAAGAGATCCCAGGTAGAGGCTGTGACCCCTGCTAGAAGAAAGCAACCCCCTCCCCCAAGTCCATACCAATTTAACCAGGGGATCAAATTCCTTCCTTCTTCCAAATGTGGTGTTGGTCTGACCCTGAGCAGAGGAGCAAGACCCTCTAGCCAGGACCCTACAGGTTTGAGTCCCAGCAGGAGCATTGGCACAGCTCAGTCACATCTCAAGTCATCCCAGGTTTTGTCCAGCAACCACTACTGCTCCAAACTCTGCCTGTGGTTATGAGTTTACTCAGGTTCAGAAGAAGGGGGGTGTTCAATGAAAGCACATTTAATCAGCCAGAGCAGGAGAACATTAAGTAATGAGATGCGATAATGGGCTCTTTCCAATCTCTGGCCATGCTCATCTGCTCCCACAAGTCTCTTGGGCCCTGGGATTACGATGAGGTTGTGTCTGAAAAGGTAGCCCCTGAGGGCTGGTGTCTGCATCTGAAGAAGGATGTTGGGGAAGAAAATAAGCAGGAAGGTAGAATGGGAGAATTAGGAAAGGTCCAAAGAAAGGCAGATTCATTAAACAAAATCTCACCATTTTGCGTGTCTTGCCAGCACCTCCAATGCTTCACTAAAAGTGATTTCCACACCTGAGCTAGGGAGCTGAGTTAATGTTTCCACCCATGAGTTTGTGTTTCTAGTTTGAGTTAAAAACTAGGTTGTGAATGGAAGCTATGTTACTAGGAGAAGCAAACAGCTAGCAGCGTTGCAGAAGTAAGACTAGCATAGAAATGCCACTATTGCTGCCAAGTAGTTGGCTTTAAACTTTGGCTGGATGAGGAATCAAGGGAAGGTGGGGTGTGACTGCACCCATGACCCTTCCCAGAATCCTCCCCTGCTAGGGACCCACGTTCCTTCTGCCACATGCCAGGACTGGGGCCTGAGCCCCACACTAGCTCCACCTTCACCTACATGCCAGGATCAGGCCCTGTGCCGCCCTGCACTCCTAATCTACTGCACAGGGCCATGCCCTGTGGGGCTCTCCATGTACCCATGGGCTGGATGACCTGGTATGGAGGGCTTGATTTGGCCCACAAGCCCTGGGTTAGACAATGGATGTGTTTGGGGTGTTTTGAATAGGGTGAAGGTTGCTAGGTCACCTTGAGTATACTTTGGTTGCTGTATGGATTGGGAGAGAATTCTACCCCACCCCCTGTTGCTGCTATATGTCAGAATGTTTTGAAGCCTTCCTCAGGGTCATTGGGTATTGGCTGCAGCCCAGGCTGGGGATGGTGATGGTGATTCTGTCTGCTAACTGCTTCTGGTCTCCCTACTTATATTTCACAGCCTTAGAGATTTTAGCTCTTTTCTCAGAATCTTGGATCCACCCTTGGAGACCAATTTTCAGCAGCAGTTAGGCTTTCAGCTTGAGTTAAGCAGGAAAGGGAGGACAAATAAGTCAAAGACGAAGCTCTGTCCCTGCTTTATGTACATCTAACTCAGGAAAATATTTTTCTTCATTTTTCTTTTAAAAAACAATGTGCCTTGTATTTTGGGTGTGTCATACATGAGACAATATGGCATCTCTATAGAGGGCCCCATCCTGCCATGCCTGTATGGTTCATAGTTCTGTCTCCTACATGGTCAGTGATGCTGGGGAAGCAGTCTTTCTGACTCCCTTCTCTTCTCCCATTGCAGCTTCCAGCTTTGGGAGATCTAGGATGTTCTAATTCAGAGACTGCCCCCTGACCTCCATGCTGTAATGTCTCATTTATAATGTCAGACAAGGTTCTTTGGATAAATCTGAAATCTTTTATCAGACCAACTCAAATAGTTTGAAAAATTCTTCTTAGCAGCTTTCAGGCACAAACACCCTTCATCAGGCTGAGGAAGCGTGACCATCTGTAGACGTTTCCTCAGCCTGACAAAGGGTTTATAATGTGCCCTTTCCTCCACAAAAAATTCAGTCACTGGAAGTCAGGCTGTGCATTATAATCAAGGAAATGTGGTAAATGTCACTTCTGCTGCTTAGGCCTCTACTGGGGGTGGAGGGGAATGAAAGTAAAGTGAAAAATATGTTAACAACTTTTGCCACAGCAGGATGTTGACCATGGTTGTTCCCTCTGTTTTACTGGTGACAGCTTCAGGTGCGATGTGTTGGGGTTGTGTCAGGGTCAAAACTGGCTTTGTATAGAATGGTTCAGATAGGGATAATATTGCCTCTGGGTGGGTGTTGGACTAGATCAGCGTTTCTCAACCTGTGGGTTGCAACCCAAAAGTGGATCACAAGAATATATGAGAAGGTTGCGAACAATCTTTAAAAATGGATTCTCCTTTAAAGAAGAAAAACATGGGGAAACTGTTTTTTCCCTTGCAGGCTATCAGAGTTCCAGCCTGTTAGGGGCTGCTTGGGGGCTACCCCCTACCCCGTGCACTAGGTGGGGCTTGGACCTGGGCATGGGGAACAGCAGGTAGGGTGTGAGTGGCACTGGGTCAGGACTGGTCATCCATGTTTGCAAATGGATCCTGGTACAAAAAAGGTTGAGAACCACAGGACTAGATAACTTCAAAAGGTCCCTTCCAGCCCAACTTCTCTATGATTCTGAGTGCTACACACAGGGTTGCCTAGCTGCTGACTGTGGGATCTCTCTTTTTCCTCCTCCAGGCAAGGGAAGATCCTTTCTTTTCCTCATTCCACCTTTCAGAAACTAGATGCTTGTTTCCTTGGGGTTGGAGCAGAGGCATGTTGTGTACTTCCTCCATACAGTAAGGAGGGAGTTGGGGCGGGGATGGGGGGTGTGTATTATGTGCTGGAAAGTGTGGTAAACAGGGAGTTAGGGGTCAAGTTGCATGCTATAAAGTACAATAAGTAGAGAATTGGCGACATGTTTTGTGTGAAAATATGGTAAACAGGGAGTTGGTAGGGATAGAGTGTAGGGGGTGGATAGATCAACAGATAAGAATGTGGGGTGAATATATGGACAAATAAGAGTGAGAGTGGACAGAAGGAGAGAGAAATGGATAGAGAGTGTGTAGTGAGCAGATTGAGAAATGGATGGAGTGTGGGATAGATGGAGTGTAGCATGGATAAATGGAGAGATAGTATGGGGTGGATAGTCAGAGAAATGGATACAGAGTGTGGGGTGGATAGATGGAGGGATGGATGGATAGAGTGTGGTTTAGATAGACAGACAGACAGGTCTGCTTAGTTTAGAAAAATAACACTTGAGGGGGGACATGATGAGGGTTTCCAAAACACTAAATAGCAAAGAGGAAGTCAGTAGGGATTTGTTATGGACTGTCCCTCACCAGACAAGAACAATGGTTCACCACATGAAGCTAGCAGGTTGTCAGTTTAAAACTAACACAAGGCAGTTCTCTTTCCTTCAGCGTGTCATTAAAAGGGTAGAGTTCGTTGCTACCAGATGTGGTGGAAGCTGAGAGTTTAGCCAGTCACCAAGGGGCTAGACAGTAGGTACTGAGCAGGGGAGTGAGGGGTGCAGCCTCTGCATCGGAATTCCCCAGACTTTCAATGCTGGAGGCTGCAAGTAAGAAAGGAACAGGGGAAAAAACCCTCATCAGATCCAGCTCACTTTCTTTTTCAGCATCTGCTCTCTGCGGCCATATGACTCAGGAGACAGGGCAAGATGGACCTAGGGTTTGACCCAGTCAGTGGCAGTCCATATGTTCCTATGAGTTGCCGGGGGTGGTGGGGGGGGTTGTGCGCTAGAAGGTACGGTAAGCAGGGGTTTGCAAAGCTGGAATTGGGGGCTAAGCTGGAGGGAGATGGGTGGGTTGTGGCTTTATAATGAGTTTCTTATATAGAGCCCCCACCCCAACCTGGAGATCATTTTGCAGTCTCAGTGGCTTTCACCTCCTGGAAACAAATCTTCTTTTCTGCCTCCTCCTCCTCTTCCTCCCCCACCCCTCTTCCCCCTCCTCCGCAGGTTGCCATGGGGACACTCCAGTAGGAAACCAACGCTGCTAACATCACGATGCACCCGGCATTGTGAAGGGAAAACTGAGCAAACACCCTCCCCTGGGTTCCCTGGAGGGGCCCACATGGTTAGTCATGGCCACAGACTCCGGCGCAGAAGAGCCTGAGAAGCCCCAAAGAGGTGTCTCCTTGGAAGGCGACATCCTCATGGCAGAGACCACTTTGACCATGGAGGACAAGGAGCCTGCCCACTCCCTAGCTTCTAGTGGGGGCCCTACGGAAAGGAAGCGCTTCTTTCGCAAGAGTGTGGAGATCACAGAGGAACGAGACCAGTTGGGGCCAGGTGCCCAGCCAGAAGAACATTTCTCCACTGGCCTTCTCCTAGCTGGACAGGATGCCAAGAGTGAGCCAGGCCCCAAAGCTTCTTCAGAGCCCCATAAGGAGAAGACCAAAAAGGAGATCGAGGAGGAGGCAGAGATGAAAGCTGTGGCCACCTCCCCTGGTGGCCGGTTCCTCAAGTTCGACATTGAGCTGGGCCGCGGGGCTTTCAAGACAGTTTTCAAAGGGCTGGACACGGAGACGTGGGTGGAAGTGGCATGGTGCGAACTTCAGGTGTGTGCCTTGCTCTATGGGGCAGGTGTGGGAGGTGGGCGGGGGACAGTGTTGAACACATGCTTCCTTTAAAAACTCCAGCTCCCGGCTAACAGATTTCGGCGGGGAGAGGTAGAAAGGCCAGAGATGAGACCTCTTGGCTGTGTGGTATGTCTGCACTTGGTATGGGGGCTGGCCGTGGCTGGAGACGCAAGATATGGAGCTTCTACACCCTCCATGTCTTACCACCACTACCTGCTGTGCCCTTATTGACAAACAAAAAACTCAAGAGCCTCATGGATTTTATTAACAGGAGCAAATCAAAGGCATGGATTCTCCTGTTCTGTTTGGCATTGGTGTCCCATGTCCAGTCTCGGGCCCTGCACATCAGGAAGGAGGTGGACATGTTGGAAAGAGTCCAGTGCAGACAGACCCAAATGATGAGGAGCCTGGGAAGTAGGATTGATTCATAGATTGTAGAGTTGGAAGGGACCCCGAAGGATCATCATGTCCGACCCCCTGCCCTAGGCAGGAAAAGGACCGAGATCAGATGACCCCAGCCAGGTGCCTATCTAGCTTCCTCTTGAAGACCTCCAAGTTGGGTGATTACTACCACCTCTCTTGGCAGCCTGTTCCAGCTTCTGGCCACCCTCTGACCCTGATGGGGACAGGCTGAATGATCTTGGGAGATTGAGTCTGGAGAAGTGATGTTGGAATGGGGATTGGATTACAGCCTTCTTGAAGGCCAGTGCCAGAGAGGATGGAGATGATTTAGGGGTCTGGGAAGTAGGACTGATGAGAACAGGCTGGAAGAGCTCAAGGGGTTGAGTCTGGAGAAGAGAAGCTGGTGGGGGGGTTAGATTACCACCTTCCCATCCCTGAAGGATGATGACAGAAAAGATGGAGATGGGCTTTTATCTGTGGCCATGGGGGACAGGACTAGGAGCAGTGGCTTCAAGCTGCGGCATGGCAAACTGAGGTTGGAAATGAGGAGGAACTTGCTGCCTCTGAGGGAGGTAAAGCATTGGAACAGGTTGTAGAATCTCCACAGAGAAGTGGTGGAATCTCCATCCCTGGAGATGTCCAAGAGTAGGTTGGGTGGTGTAACAAGATCCTACTCCAGGGGTGTCCCTGATGCCCCTGGAGCCCCCTCAGACCTTGTCAGCTTCACTCGCTTTTGGCCAATCTCCCTTTCCACTTTCCTGCCATGCCTTGTTGTATTCATCTTTTTGAAAAAGACAGGCTGCCCCAGGGTTTCCCATGCTTGATCTTACACTCCTCACATTGTCTCTGCTCTCCACCTGAAGGGCTAATTATATGGGCTCTGTCCTCCCCAGTACCCATGCCTCACAGATGTCACACATACTAATTGGATTATAACTGCCCCTACAGGCTCTTGGCTCCATTTGTTCTTATGCCAGCCCCTCTATGAGCCACTCTGGGCCCTTCAATCTCCAGCTGTGGCCCCACTGGCTTTCGGTCCTTCTCCTTAGATCCTGGCTTCGCTCCTAGGCCAGTTGAGACCCATGGGCTCTCTAGCCCTGCCAGTCTCTGGCTGTGGTCCTCCTTGACTTTTGGCCTTTCCTGAGCCCTGGCCCCACTTCTAGGCCAGTGAGACATATGGGCACCCTGGCCCTACCTACTCCCTGGGCCCTCTGCTCTCTTTTTGAGCCCTCTGGCTTCTCTTTTCTGGGCCAGCTGGGACCTCCTTACCTCCACATAGTCCCTTCCACAAACCACCAGCTGTTTCCCAGCCCTAAGGCTACATGCTGGTGGTTCTGCTGGACCTAAGGCCACACACCCATGGATGTAGTTGGTGTGAGCCAGAGTCACTGACTCAGCAGCCTGCTCAGGAGCATCTTCCCTGTCAGCTGCTAGGGTAAGATTGCCCATCTACCTAAGGCCCTGAATTTATATATACCTCAAGTGCAGCCCCTTCCCACAGGTGTCTTCCTTGATTATTACCTGAGCTTTTTCTAGATCATTCTCTCCTCTTAAACTGACAGGCACGCTAAGTGCCCTGTCACAGGTGGACACTGGACTGGGATGGTTTAGTCAGGGATGATCCTGCCTGGAGCCAGGGGGCTGGGGTTGAGGTGATCTCCTAAGACCCCTTCCAGCGCAACATCCCCATGATGCCTTCTCAGATCATAGGACTATGAGAAAGCAGGAAGGGGGTGACAGGACAGAGATGGGTTTTTCTCTTTGGCCATGGGGGACAGGACTAGGAGCAGTGTCCTCAAACTGTAGCAAGGGAACTGAGGCTGGGGATGAGGAGGAACTTGCTGCCTCTGAAGGAGGTTGAGCATGAGAACGAGCTGCCTGGAGACATGGTGGAGTCTCCATCCTTGGAGAAGTGCAAAGGCAGGTTGGACAGACTCTCTGACAGCTCAAGGAGCTGCTACATCAGATGCAGGTGTCTTCTCAAGGCTCAGCCCACACTAATGGCTCCGCAGAAGGCTGGGAGACCCCACAGAGTCAGGTGTCTTATATTCTGGGGTGTGTTGTATACAAGGAAAATACAGTCATTTCATGGTCTGTGCTCAGAGAGCATTTCCTTCCCATAAGAGATATCAAAGTGCCTGTAACAGGTCCCAATAGATTTATGTTGCTTGGTAAAGAAAAGGCATTTGATAATCATAGAGAAATCATAGTGACATCAGGCTGGAAGGGATCTCCAGAGGTCACCTCTAGTTCAACCCCATGCTCAAAGCAATCCAAACCATCAAGACAAATCTGTCATCTAAACTCTTCATAAAACTACTGACAACCCCTGACATAAGACATGACAACCAAAACTGCCACAGGGAAAGCAGGGGGACCATGGCAGCTAACATTTTGCTTCTGTCGAAGGTTGTTAATATATGCTCCACAGATCACAGGTAGAGGCCATGCCCCCACTACAGAGGAATGCAACACCCATCCCCCTTCCCAGTTCATACCAATCTAACCAGGGGATAAAAGTCCTTCCTGCTCCCAAATGTGACATCAGTCTGACCCAGAGGGCAAGACTCTAGCCGGGATACTCTGGGTTTGAGTTCCAACAGGAGCATTGGATCAGCCCAGTTACCATCCTCAACCTGGGTTGCAGCCAACAACCAGTGCCTCTGAAGGAGGCTTAAAAACACCCGTAGCAGCAAGAGCAGGCAACCAGCAAAGCCTAGAAGCCTGGAAAATCCCCATAGTAGAATATAGGCTTCACGATACTTAGATCATCCCTGACTGGTGGCTGTCCAACCTCTTCTTGAACCCCTCCAGTGTGGCAAGTCCACAACTTCCCTGGGCATCTATTCCACTACCTCACTGTAGTCTGGTAGCTGGGCCATGAAAGATTAATTGTCTTTTCTGGGTTTTTTTGCTTAATTTTGACTCGGCCATGCAAGGAGCCTTGTAACCTACACGAGGAAGGATCTGTACTAGATTTAATCCCCTGATAAATACTTTCAGCCCTTTGTCCATACTCCTTCCTGGTTCTCATTGTCTTTCCTACTAGAAGTACAGGTGAAAACAAAAAGATGACAACCTTGACCCTTTGCCTTTTGGCTACTTTCTCAGCCATCAGCTCATTTAAGTGTCTGCATGTTTACTTTGGTTTATTGATGAGGGAGAGATTACATGGTGCATTCTCAAAGTGACCTGCAAGAAAAACTGGCTTTCTTTTATAGAAGAACCATTCAGCCCTTGATCAAACTTCCTTGCAAGGGAGTCAGGCTGGTTCTGAATTGGCTGTTGATACAAAGAACATCCTGGGTACAGGAACTCTCTAGCAAGTGGAGAAGAGGACAGGATGGTCGTGACACATTGAGGAGTGCTCTCGGGCTCCAGACACCCTTTGTTAGCCCCAAGGCCCTCCTCAGAAAATGCCAACTCTTTGCTTTCACTCTTTGGTTGACGAAGAAAATACAATAAGGGTAATACTTCAGTTGCAAAAAACTCAGAAGGGCCCAATGGGCCAGGATAGTTTTGACAGGAGGAGAAGCTTAGGAGAAAAAGATGAAAGAACTAGAATTATTTCATCTGGAGGAGAGAAAACCAAGGGGATAGGATTTGATCACAGTCATCCAATCCCTGAAGGGCTATGCCAGAGAGGCTAGAGAGGATTTAAAGCAGGGTTTGTCAACCAGGACTTGGGAAGGCCCTAGGGGGTATGTGCAGGTGGGTGGGGATGGAGTGCTGCCACCCACCACCCTGTGCTGCCACCTCCCAGGCGCAGAGCTGGGGGGGGGCGAGGCCAGTGGTGCCCCTTTGCAGGCTGCACAGGTGCTGCCTGGCCGGCCGGATTTTAGCCAGGGGAAGGGAAGCTCGCATGCAGCAGCTGCCACTGCCACCCACCACCCCATGCTGCCACCATTCCACATCCAGCCATGTGCCACCCCCCACTCCCCACACCGCTCTGTGTCCGGCCACCAGGGGTACACTTATTAAAAAAGGATGACAACCCCTGATTTAGAGGCCTGGGAAGTAAGACTGATGGGGACAGGCTAGAAGAGCTCAGGGGATGGAATCTGGAGAAGAGAAGATGGAGGGAGGATTGAACCATAGCCTTTCCATCCCTGAAGGATGGAAAAAGAGAGATCCCACAGTCCCTGTATGGCTGCAGGGAACAGGACTAGGAGCAACAGCCTCAAGCAGGAAAACTGGAGCTGGAGATGAGGAAAAACTTGCTGACTGTGTGTGGTCAAACATTGGATCCAGTTGTGGTGCTGTGGTGTCCCCATCCCTGGAGATGTCCAAGAGCAGGTTGGATAGACACTGGGTTGGGATGGTTTAGATGGAGACAATTTTGCCTGGAGTAGGGGGTGGGATCAAGGTGACCTCATGGGGCCCATTCCAGCACAACATCCCTAGGATCCCATCTTGAATTGTATGATTATAGGAAAGCATAAAGGGCAATAACTGAGAGAATGGAAATGGGCTTTTCTCTGTGGCTGTGAGGGGCAGGACTAGGAGCAGTGGCCTCAAGCTGCAGCAGAGAAAACTAAGGCTGCAGATAAGGAGGAACTTGCTTCCTCTGAAGGAGGTCAAGCATAGGAACAGGCTGCCCAGAGATGCAGTGGAGTCTCCATCTCTGGAGAAGTCCAAGAGCAAGTTGGACAAACTCTAGGCGGAGATGGTTTTGTCAGGCATCCTGCCTGGAACAGGGGGCTGAGGTCAGTGTGACCTCATGAGGTGTATTCCAGCCCACCATTCCGATAAACCTATGATCTGTCCATATATGTAGGCAAAGTAGCTGTGGGGCCTAGATTTTAAACTGGAAGTGCCAGATTTCTGTAGGAAGATGCCTCTTTATCCCAGTAACTTCTCAGAGGTCTGTTGAAATGCCTCAGTATTTTTGTCTTTATTTCTTTGCTAAACGGGTATTTTTTTTAACGATCATGGAATGTTTTTTCAAAACCAATCTCTATCCTGCCATGGGTATATCTAGGATGTTAGAAAAGGGGCTGTAAATGGTATCATCACATACAACACAACATACATGTTTCAAAGAAATCTTAGAGATGTGGAGCTGGAAGGGACCTCCAAAGGTCACATCTAGTCCAACACCCTGCCTGAGGCAGGATCATCCCTATTCAAACCATCCCCGACACATCAGTCATCTAACCTCATGATCAAGTGACTGTCTACCCTGATATAACATCAGACATCATACCCCAACCTGTCCCAGGGAAAGCAGAACCATGACAGCTAGTGATCTGCTCCTAATAAAGGTTGTTATATAAGTTCAAGAGATCCCAGTTAGAGGCCGTGCCCACTATTACACAGGAAGGCAGAACACCCCCGCCCCTCCCCGCCCTCCTTAGTTCATACCATCTGACCTGGGGTAATATTCCTTCCTGACCCTAAATAGTGGGGGGCGGGGTGTTAAGCCTCTGTCAGAGGCATTGAGTGTCAGCTGAAGCCCAGGCTCGGGATGGTGACTGAGCTGTGCCAATGCTCCTGCTGGGACTCAAACCTTGAGGCTCCTGGCTAAAGGTTCTTGTCCCCCTGCTCAGGGTCTAACTGATGCCGCATTTGGGGTCAGGAAAGAATTTGACCCCCCTGGGCAAATTGATATGGACTCATGGGGCTTGGCTTCCTTGGTGGTGGGGGTATGACTCTACCTGGGATCTCTGGAACATATACTAACAATCATTTACAGCAGCAGGATGTTTGCTGTGGTCCCACCTCTCTGTGGCAGGGTTGGGTGTGATGTCTGGTATTGTGGCAGGATGGACAGTAGTTTTATGAAGAGTTTGGACAGTGGATTTGTCTGGGCTCATTTGGACAGGGATGGTCCTGCCTCAAGCTGGGTTTTGGACTAGATGTGACCTCTGGAGGTCCCTTCCAGCATTATTTTAAGCCACAAAGATGCAAATAAAGCCTCAGTTTTTAATGGCATGGGTGACTGAAAACAGGTTCCCAATAGAAAAGGTGGATATTTTCCCCCATCTCATGATGGCTTTAGGTCAAGGCTGCATGCTTTGGTAGAAGATGCTTGAGCTGAACACAACCTGAGAGATATTCACTGGCCTGCTCCAGCTAGCAGGGGTGCTTAATCCCTGGCCCACAGGTGCCATTGGTCTGACTTTGAGTAGAGGGGCAAGACCCTTAGCCAGAAACCTCCTGGGTTGGAGTCCCAGCATGAGCATTGACACAGCCCAGTCACCATCCCCAGCCTGGACTGCAGCCAACACTCAGTTCCTCTGAGGGAGACTTAAACACACCCCAATACATGTAGCAGAAAGGTGGGGAGGAGGGGAAAGCCCAGAACCCTAGGAAATCGCCATAGTAGAATTTAGGCATCACTCTGCTAAATCATCCCTGACCCATGGCTGTCCATCCTCTTCTTGAGCACTTCCATGGATGGAAAGTCCACAACTTCCCTGGGCATCTATTCCACTGCTTCACTGTTCTAACTAACCAGCCTTATGCAGGATTCCACCCCCCGCAGCTTCCAGTTGGTACGATACTGTGACTATTCTCCCCTCTCCAGGACAGGAAGCTGACCAAAGCCGAACAGCAGAGGTTCAAGGAAGAAGCAGAGATGTTGAAAGGTTTGCAACACCCCAATATTGTCCGCTTCTATGACTCATGGGAGTCCACAGTGAAGGGGAAGAAGTGCATCGTCTTGGTCACCGAGCTTATGACATCTGGGACACTGAAGACGTGAGTCTCTCCCCCTCCCTCTTCACCCCCATTCTTTCTCCCCCACTCCAGGTGTAGTTGAGCTAGTGGTTTTCTTTTGATGTTAATCTACCCTTGCTCTTTTGATCCAACCCAGGGGCCTCACAAGCTTGTTCCCATAGCATCCAGCCAGCCCAGATGTCCTGGGACAGTCCTTGATTTCAGGGCAATATTTAGGGTTGCAAGCACAATAATTTTTATTTATTATTTTTTTCACTGACAGTCCGCAAACATTTTTACTGACTTTTTTTCTTTTTACTGTCAGGATACTCTGGATACCAAAAGTTTAGCTTTAATCAGCCATGGAGGCCAGTATTAAACAAAGGGATGACTGCAAGATATAGGGCTCTACTCTCAAGTCCAAGGTAGAAAATCAGGGGTAAAACCACATGAGTAAAAGTTACCTTGGTATAAGTGTGGTGTGGAATAACAGTTTGCCCAAGGCAGGCAGAGTATGACAGCATCCCTTGTTAGGCTCAAGGCACTCTCAGAAAATGCCAGGTCTTAATAACCAATGAATGCAACCTAGGGAAAAAAAAAAAGCGTCTTGCAAAGCACCTAGAAAACCCACAGCAGGTCAGGATGTTTTTTAACACTCTGGATTCCTATTTGAAATCCCTGGGCTCATCTTGTGAGTTCTGTATGCATCCCTACCAGTGATGACATCATGTGGTGCCCCCACAGCACCTCTGAAAAGATCTCGGGGCACCCCAGTATGCCACGGCATCCTGCTTGAGACACATGGGGCTAGGAAATATGCTCCCACCACCTAGTGGCAAAGTGGAGCAGCAGCTGCACATGCCATATTTTCTGGCATACAATATGCCACCCATGGGTAGATCTATGGTTTTAAAAAGGTGAGGTGTTGGGATGGCATGGCTCATCACATACAACACAACATGTATGTTTCTCCACTTAAAGAGAAACTAGAAACTTTACTAATATGTTAGCGGGGCTTTAATTACAGTATTCATTTTAAGATCCAAGCAAAAAACAATAGAATTATTGGAATATGTACTGATTTTCTAGATTATTCTCGCCTAGGTTGCTGTGTTTTTTAAACTTTATATATAGTCAAAGGCTAGTAGTGTCATTAGTCCTGTGGGGTATAGTTTTAAAGGATACAGCCTCTGAATCAGAACTTCCAAGACCTTAAATGCTAGAGGCTGTGAGTGAGAAAGGAACAGTGGAAAGAACCCTGGTCAGACCCAGTTCACTTTCTCTTCAGCATCCACTCTCTGCCACTATGTAAGATGGGAGACTGGGCAAGGTAGACCTATGGTCTGATCCAGTCAGTGTCAGTTCTTATGTTATCCTCTTAACTATTGGAATATGCATGGATTTGCTAGATTATACATTAAATTTAAAAACCGCAAATTAGGCAAAAATAGTCAAAAGATAGCACATTATTAGTCCTGTAGTCATTATAGATAAATGCACATCTCTTACTCAGATTGAATGTTTTGACAGGGATGATAGGGATAATCTTACATCAGGCACAGGGTTGGAATAGGTGTGACCTCTCGAAGTCCATTCCAGCCCAAGTTCTGTATGCTTATATGGCAGCGCCTCCAATACTTTACTGTCAGTCATGTCCACACTGAGTTAATAGGACCATATCTGAGTTAATGCTTTTTGCTAGAGCTAAAAACCGTCTCAAGAGCTCAGAAACAGAAGAGAGACATTACTGGGAGTGACTAACAGAACAACATGGCAGAGGAAAGGATAGCTTGACTAGTAGAACATCAAGTTTCTTTCAAAGGAGAGAGGATTGTTCACATCTGTGGAGTGAAGAGATTAGCAAGAATCAGGGAGATATCAATGAGCCATAGACATCATAGAGAGGTAGGGCTGGAAGGGACCTCCAGAGGTCACATCTAGTCCAAGACCCTGCCTGAGGAAGGACTATCCCTACCCAAACCATCCCAGACAAACCCGTCATCTAGACTCTTCATAGAACTAATGTCAATCCTGAAAAAAACCCTAAACTTTGTGCCTGAACCTGCCACAGGAAAAACAGAGGAACCACAGCAGCCAATTTCCTATCGCTGTAATGGTTGTTAATGTACAGTCCAGATACCCCAGGTAGAGGCTGTGCCCTCCACTACAAAAGAAGGCAATCCCCCCCCCCCGGTCCATACCAATCTGACCATGGGGTAAAATTCCCTCCTGAATCCAAAAGCAACATCAGTCTGACCCTGAGCAGAGGGGCCAGACCCTCTAGCCAGAAACCTCCAGGTTTGAGTCCCAGCAGCAGCATTGGCACAGCCCAGTTGCCATCCACAGCCTAGGCTGCAGCCAACTTCCAATGCCTCTGAGAGAAGCTTACTCTGACACATAGCAGAAAGATGTGGGGGAGGGGGCAACCAACAAAGCCCAGAAGCCTGGGAAATCCCCACAGTAAAATACAGGTATAGTGATACCTAGATCATCCCTGACCACTGGCAATCCAACCTTTTCTTGAGTACTTCCAATGATGGAGGGCCTACAAGTTCCCTGGGCATCTATTCTATGGTCTCCCAGTTCTAACACTTGGCTTCAATTGGCTACCTCAGCTACTGCCTGAATAGAAATGCCACTGCCTCTCCTAGGCAGTTGGTTTTAATTCAGCAGAAATTAAGGTGGGCGGGGCGGTTGGCAACTGCACCCCCTGAGTCTGACCCTGGTGCTGCCTTTCTTGTCCTCACGCTCGCAGGTACTTGAAGCGCTTCAAAGTGATGAAGCCCAAGGTCCTGAGGAGCTGGTGCCGGCAGATCCTGAAAGGGCTTCACTTCTTGCACACCCGCACACCCCCCATCATTCATCGGGACCTCAAGTGTGACAACATCTTCATTACAGGCCCCACAGGCTCGGTGAAGATTGGGGACCTGGGGCTGGCCACCCTGATGCGCACGTCTTTTGCCAAGAGTGTTATTGGTAGGTGGAGATGCCAATTCCTGGCATTGATGATGGGGTGGGGGGCCGATGGCAGATGACATAACGTGGGCAATAACACGGAAGGTCCTGCACCTAGGACAGAACAGTCCCATGTACCAGTACAGGCTGGGGCTAACTGGCTAGGCAACAGCTCTGCAGAATAGGACCTGGAGGTTTCAGTGGACAATAAGCTGAATATGAGCCAACAGTGTGCCATTGTTACCAAGAAGGCGAACAGCAGACTGGGCTGCATTGGTAGGAGTGTTGCCAGCAGAGCAAGGGAAATGATTCTTCCCCTCTAGTCAGCACTAGTGAGGCCACATCTGGAGTACTGTGTCCAGTTTTGGGACCCCACTACAGAATGGATATGGACAAGTTGGAGAGAGTCCAGCAGAGGGCAACAAAAATGGTTAGGGGGCTGGGGCACATGACTTCTGAGGAGAGACTGAGGGAACTGGGCTTACTTAGTCTGGAGAAGAGAAGACAGAACAAGAAGCAATAGTCTCAAGTTGCAGCAAGGGAAGTTCGGGTTAGATATTAGGAAGAACTTTCTCACTAGGAGGGTAATAAAACCTTGTAGGGAGACAGTTAGACGGGCCAAAGCTACCATGGAGCTGAGGATGGCATCCCAAGTAAAGGATAATAAGAAATTGTTTTTTAGATATATAGGGAGTAAAAGGAAGGCCCAGGGAGGAATAGGACCCCTACTAAATGGGCAGAAGCAATTGGTGACGGACAGGGGGGACAAGGCTGAACTCCTCAACGAGTTCTTTGCCTCAGTGTTCCTAAG